CAAGGAGCTCTTGTTTGCTCCTTGAGCTACATGCTCAGTGCATTCAGGCCAGTTCTTTGCCCATCAGCTCTGCTCTCTCTGCCAATGAGCTAAGCCCTGCACCACTGAGCTTTGGTACTAGGAGCTTCCAGAAGGACAGCAAGAGCCATGTGCAACAAAACTCCCGAATTGAAATCTGAATGGCAAACCTTATGCTAAAATAGTTGATTTTGGAAAAACTCTCAAACTCTGCAATAGTTTCAGATTGTCAAATTGTGCTATTAAAATTTGGTATAATTCTTAGTATAGTGAAAACCCCTATTAAGGTATAACCCTGCCTGCACATTGCTAGGAATCAAACTTTTGGCATTTAAATTTTGGTGGGGTTGAAAAACTGGATAAAATGTTTATGTAAGAACAGCATTGAGTTTTCCTTTAGAGTGAATGCAAAGGAACTCATGGCCAAACTTTTCATGTCTTCAAAGCATGTCTTTGTTTTGATTATTTATTTTTATTGTCTTGCCAAGAGCATTTTAAATAACCCCAGTCCATGTGATACACACTCTCTATGCATGTCTTAGCAGGACAAGGCTCCACATAAACAATCACACCCCACCAAATAATAGGTGTATATCTATCCCAAATCCTCACTGTCCCCTCTTTACATACATTTTAACTCAGTCAATAACCCAGCTCCTATTAAACCCACCGACGCCATATAAAAGCCCTCTTCCCCTGCACTATACACCTCCCTCCCATGTGACCCCATGTTACTTGCTCTTGCTGGCTGTGTTACCTTATTATCCTGCCCATATCTCGCTCTCTCTGTGTACAGCCCGGAGTAAACCTGTCTCTGACTTTCGATTTCTCCTCCACCACTTTCGACAAAAATTGAATAATAAATAATTGCACAAAACGGGTTTTACCTGCTATATCCCGTACAGCGATTATATCGTGTTACTCATATATAACTCTGATTTTATTTAAATGTCAGATTTATTATAATGTTTAGTTTTTAAACCAGTCCGGACATGACGAATGTGCCGCCCAGCTCGCCGAGTCACTGTAACAGTGTGTGTAAACAGAGTGTATGCAGCGCTCGGCTCTCACTGTCTGATTCAGTACCCGGGGTCCGGTAAGGAAGGGAAGGCAGGCTGATACATAGTATGATAAATTATAGGCACTTCTTAATTATTGGGTTTATTCACTAAAGTACAAAACCCCCATCCAGATTCCTACCCCTCCCCCCAAAAGAAATCTTTATCTTAAAGGACCACAATAGGCTCCCAGACCACTTCAGCTTAATGAAGTGGTCTGGGTGCCAGGTGGTCTGGGTACCCTTTCTGCTGTAAACATGTTTACTTTAGGGTTAATCCCGCCTCTAGTGGCTGTCTCATTGACAGCCGCTAGAGGCGCTTCTCACAGTGATCCGCGTGCCACTCTTGCCCACATGTGCATTCAGCAGATGACGTTGGAAGGAGGAGGAGAGTCCCCGGCGCTGGAGAAAGGTGAGTGTTTAACCCCCTTCCTCCCCCTTCAGCCCGGCGGGAGTGGGACCCACTCTCAGGGCACTATAGTGCCAGGAAAACGAGTTTGTTTTCCTGGCACTATAGTGGTCCTTTAACCCATTAACGCCGTTACGGCGTGCTATGCAGTCCCGGCATTAATGGGCTTAAACACCTTCACGGCGGCATAGCACGCCGCGGCGTTTAGGACCTCCCACGTTGCCCTGATCCCTCCCAAACTGCAGATCACGGTGGGGGGGCCTGCCTGGCAACCCAGGCAGGTCCCCTGTGGCCAATCCGCAGTGATCTGCAGTTTGTGATCGCAGTGACAGCCAGTCACTGCGATCACTGTTACAATGTGTCAGCCAATGATTTTAAATCACTGGCTGACACATTGTCTCTGCCCCTCACCTCACTTCGATCTGAGAGAGAGAGGCAGAGAGATCGTTGCTGGAGAGCCCTGTTGGAGAAAAACATGTGTAAAATAAAAAAAAAGTTAAAAAAATAAATTTTTAACCCTTCCAGTGCTGGTCACAGCATTTAAAACTGTGATCAGCCTGTTTAGGGATTTTAGTACATTTTGTACTATTATTATTTTTATTTTTTTAGGGTCAAAAATTTTTTTGTAATTTTTTTTTTTGACCCTTTGTCAGCCGCAGCAACCCAAATCACCCTTAACCCTTTCCCCGCTGCCGTGATTACTGTACTGTACAGTATCGCTACTGTACAGTATTGTACCAGTGATCACTGTGATCAGAGGGCTCTCTGATCAGGTTGACTTTTTTGGGGGGTTATTTTTATTAAAAAAACAAAAAATAAAATAAAAATTAACCCTTTCTGTGCTGGTCGCAGCAGCCTAAACTGCGATCAGTACATTTATTTTATTTTTTGTGAGTTTTTGAGGGTGGGTAGTAGGGTGTTAGGCAGGTAGGAATTTTGTAATTTTCCCCTTAGAATTAATTATTCAGTAGTCCCCCCTAGAATGGCACGTCTCTACTCGGCCGAGGAGGTGTACGCCATTCTGGCAGGCAGTGATAGTGACACTCTGCAAGACAGTGACACTATCACTGCCTCTGACATTGAGGCTATGACTGACTCCTCTAGTGATGGTGCCCCACCACCACCAACAAGAGGACGCTCAGCAAGCCCAGTACCAGAAGGAGACTGGGTGCCCCCAAACCTGACAGCCCCAGATATTCCCCCATTTACGGCGACCCCTGGCATCACTGTTATGGTGGATGTTTGGGAGCCCCTAAAATATTTTGATTTGTTCATGTCAAAGGAAGTATTTCAGTTATTGGTTGAGCAAACCAATTTATTTGCCAACCAATATCTGACTGCGAATCCGGGATCACATTATAATAGGCGTAATATGTGGCACCCCACGGATCTCGCAGAAATGCACAAATTTTGGGCCCTAACTCTAGTTATGGGCATTGTCAAAAAGCAGAGTATCAGGTCCTACTGGTACAAGCACCCCATCCTGGCTACCCCTCTTTTCCCTGGGATTATGAAGAGGGATCGCTATGAGCAGCTGCTGCGTTTCCTCCACTTTAACGACAACACACTGTGCCCCCCAAGAAACGACCCATTGTTTGACAGGCTGTACAAAATTCGGCCTCTAATTGAACTACTGTCAGACAAATTCTCCCAAAATTATGTCCCTGAAGAAAATATTTGTATAGATGAGTCCTTAATGAAATTTAAGGGTAGATTACTTTTTAAACAGTATATCCCTTCTAAACGGTCCCGATATGGAGTAAAATTTTATAAATTGTGTGAATCAAAATCTGGATATACATGGGCGTTTCGTATTTATCAGGGGAAGGATAGCCATTTGACCCACCAGGATGCCCTGATTCTGTGGGTACATGTGGCAAGATAGTATGGGACCTAATCCTTCCTTTGTTAAATAAGGGATACAGGCTATGGGTTGACAACTATTACACAAGCATAGAGTTATTTAAAACTCTATTTTGCTTTGAGACCGTAGCCTGTGGCACAGTGCGTAAGAATCGTAGAGGTTTCCCCCAAACCCTGGCAAGAGGTAGACGCTCCCTTTCAGCGCTCCGCCAGGATGAGTTGCTTGCCCTTCGCTTCACCGTTAGGAAAGATGTGTACATGTTGTCTACAATGCACGACGAAACTTCAGTGCCAGTGTCTGTGAGAGGTGGAACTGAGCAGCTGGAAAAGCTGAAGTGCATTGTTGACTACATCAATGTGTGCCATGCTCTCTCAAAAGCAAGATAGGCCCAGAAAATCGCTTTGCCAATTTTCAATGTGTAAAACCAAAAATGGACAAGCGTATATTTGACCCTGTAACTTTCCAAAACCGCATAAAACCTGTACATGGTGGGTATCGTGGCGCTCGTGAGACATCACTGAACAGAACTAGGAGGGTTTCAGGGCAGTAAACTATATACTGACGTTAATATTATCAGTAAAAGTGCAGTTTTTATGTGAAAAATGCAACAAAAAAAATAACACTAACTTTGGCTAGCATTTGTGCCCAAGTGGCTACTACAAAAGACTGGCCATACCCCATTTTGAATACCCTGGGATATCTACTTTTTCAAATGGTATGCCATTAAGGGGTCATTTTCATTTCTTGGCTGCCATACGGTCTCAAAGGCAGCCTAGACACAGCAAACTAATCTGACAAATTTCATTGTGAAAAAGCATAAATGGATAAGCCGTATATATGACCCTGTAACTTTCAAAAACCACCTAAAACCTATACATAGGGCATACCGTGCCGCTCGTGAGACATCACTGAACAGAACTAGGAGTGTTTCAGGGCAGTAAACTATATACTGACAATAATATTATCAGTAAAAGTACAGTTTTTATGTGAAAAGTGTAAAAAAAAAAAACGGAACACTAACTTTGGCTAGCATTTGTCCCCAAGTGGCTACTACAAAAGACTGGCCATACCCCTTTTTGAATACCCTGGGATGTCTACTTTTTCAAATGGTATGCCATTAAGGGGTAATTTTCATTTCTTGGCTGCCATACGGTCTCAAAGGCAGCCTAGACACAGCAAACTAATCTGACAAATTTCATTGTGAAAAAGCATAAATGAATAAGCCGTATATATGACCCTGTAACTTTCAAAAACCCCATAAAACCTATACATGGGGGGTACCATGGCGCTCGTGAGACATCACTGAACAGAACTAGGAGTGTTTCAGGGCAGTAAACTATATACTGACAATAATATTATCAGCAAAAGTACCGTTTTTATTTAAAAAATTGAAAAAAACAAAAAACGAACACGTTTGGCTAGCGTTTATGCCCAAGTGGCTACTACAAAAGACTGGGCATACCCCATTTTGAATACTTTGGGATGTCTACTTTTTCAAATGGTATGCCATAATGGCGTAACTTACAGTTCTTGGCTGCCATACGGTCTCAAAGGCAACCTAAGCCCAGCAAACCAATCTGTGAAATTTCTATGTAAAAAATAAATAAATAGACAAGACGTATATTTTAGCCTGTAACTTTCAAAAACACCATAAAACCTATACATGGGGGGTACTGTTTTACTCATGAGACAGTTCTGAATACAAATATGTATGTTTTATTGCAGTAAAACCTAACAGTATTGTGACATCAGTTAAACTGACATGCAGAAATTGAAAAATATCAAAATTTCTTAAGTTTTTAAACTTTTTTAGATTTTATTCATATAAAATGGAGTTATATATGAATGTTTGATATGGAATGAAAGCCCTGTTTCCCCTGAACAAACCGATATATAATAAGTGTGGGTGCACTTAGTAAGAAAGAGGTAAATTATAGTTGAACAGACAGAGAGTCAAATTCTGTGGTTTGTTTACATTTTGTTTTGATCACAACTTGTACATTTGGCTCCGTCCTTAAGGGGTTAACCATCGCATATGGATAACAGAATCTGGATATTCTCTACTTGTGCTTCACAAATAAAAGTGGAAGGAAATGGCTGTCAGGTATAAGGCATGTACTTCTTTGGTATTATTGTAAGTAACAGTGCCAAAAATGAAACTTAGGGTGGCTTGGGGATGTAGAGGGAAGTGATTTTAACTTTTTCCTCAAAGCCATCACTAGCGACAGCTGATGAAAATGACAAAACTTGGCCGTTTTGTCAAGTTTTGTCTGTCGTAGGAAAAATACATAAGACAAAGTATGATATCAATTAACTACGTTAGAATTTCAGTGAAGTTCCAACACCGTCGATGTGAGTATTTTATAATGATTTTATCTTTATAAAAATATAACTTTTTGTTGGGATGACAATGCGACTTTCAACCAGCGTCAACACTTTACGTTTTTCACAACAATCATTTATCAAAAATGTTGCAAAGTGTGGAGCTTCCACTGCTGTATCCTGACATTTCCCATCAGCAATCACAAGTGATGCCTGATCAGAACATGTATCTTCTCGCTTAATCCACAACAGATGCTAATGATATCATGGATGGTCACGCGGGATCTTCACTGATCACCATTTTTTAGATGAAAATGCCAATCGAGATAGCTTTGGGTTGGAATATCACACAGGGGCTTGGCTGTAGTCAGGGTCGCCCTGCACCCAGAGAAACGACGTGTCAGTTCAGCTCCATCATATGCCAGGCTGCCTGAAAACCTCTCTGGCCTGCCCTCTCAGAGAAGCAGTCTAAGTTCTGATTTCTTTACTTGCATGGAAATTTGTGATAAGCTCTTGTCACAGCCCATATATTCACAAACTGTGAATATAAAATGTGGTACAACCTACAAAATGGCATGAGCAGAAAAGTTTAATTTATAAAAAAAAAAAAAAAAAATTGTTTGCTAACTAATTTTGAAAGTAAAATCTAATTTGTAGTGAATTGTACTTTCCCTTACCAAAAGCTCTCTTGGGACAGAAAGACTGGTACATTGCTAGTAAAGTGAGTATTAGGGTTTGTGTTAAGTTTCTCCTTATTCATTTTGTTTGTTGATTTGTGTAACTTGGTTCGTAACATATTTCATATATGTATGTACTGTGACTATTTTTGTTCATAATAAATGTTGCTTTATTAAGGTATGCCTTTATCTGATATACAAATCATGTTACCGAAAAGAGAAGAGATCCGTGATTTCATAGGCATTTCTGCAAAACTGTGTTTTGTGGGTTTTCAAAACTGATTTGATGGGGTTAACCTAAAGTGCATTATTTATATATTGACTTGGTGGTGGCATTTATAGGTCTGGTGGTATTAAAGGGACACTATAGCCACCCAGATCACTTAATCACTTTGAAGTGGTCTTGGTGCAGTGTTCCTGCCCCCTTAACCCTACAATTGTAATTATTGCAGTTATTAAAAAACTGCAATAATTACCTTGTGGGATAACTCCACCTTTAGTGGCTGTCTATCAAAGAGCCACTAGAGGCGCTAATGGGTCCTTAGCGGACATTAGGTCCGCTAAACGATGCTGGACGTCCTCACTCTTCTCGTGAGGACATCCAGCATCAGCTAAAACCCCATAGGAAAGCATTGAACCCGGCGCTCACTGCGCATGCACGTTACGTCCTCCCCCCACCCTAGCTGACGTCAGCAGAGGCAGAGCCTGACCCAACACCGAGGGACATTGGCACTGGCATCAGGTAAGTGACAAAGGGTTTTTAACCCTTTCATCGTCACGGGAAGGAGGCTGCGAGTCAGGCGGGGCACTATAGTTTTCCTAGCACTTTAGTTTCCTTTTAAGAGGGATATTTTTTATTATTTTTAAAACTTTCACCCACTGAAGCAAGTCACAAGCCTGCTTGAGAGTGGTGGTGTTAGTGACAACCTACTTATTTATTCAACTAGATAAGCTGTGCTTCTGACCAAAGTGGGATTAAGGCTAAGCAGGAGATGCACTGAAAATATGTTTTATACATATATTTGAAGGCTTGGCCTGGAGTTGTGGGAGGGGCTTGGTTCACCTTTAAAAGGTCCACTCCCACCTTACCATTGCTGGTCTGGCGAGTCTGAAACGTTACTTCCGTTTCAGACCGCCATCTTGGATTTTTCCTTACCTTTTCCCTCGTGGTCTCCTGGTCCGGGCTCTCCTTACCGCCGGCGGCGTCCGCACAGCTCGCTCGGTGCTTTCTCTCCACAAAAACCGTAAGTCAGGCTCGCCGTAAAGCAACCGCTGCAATTCCCCTGCTTTACACGGCGGCGGCCCGTTCGGTTCAAATCTACGTTCGGTTCGTTCTATCATATCACTATTGCATTCGTCTTAATGCTTCACTCTGCTATTCACGTGTTTCACAAGTTCAAACTAACGAACGATATCATTCGGTTAAATCATACTTAAACATCATTCGGTTGATTTCTCAGGTAAATTATGGCGTATCTGTTCGGTTGTTACTATACTCTGTTAGATCACGCACGTCACATTTCTCATATGGCACTCTCAGTAAACACTAGGGACACTTATGATAGGGCCTTTCACGTATTCAAAAAATTTATCACCGAGTTTCACATTCACAACATATTTGCATTAGAGACGATTTGGGGGTTTACCTCTTTTTGCCACATTAACCTTAAACTATCCTTCAATACTATTAAACTGTACCTTACCGGCATACAACACCATATGCTCATCCAACAACCTAACAGTACTGCTTTTCTAACCTCATACCAAATTAAAACATTACTTAAAGGCATTAAAAAATTAGATACACATGTTCCCTCAAAAAGACTACCTATAGACAACAACATCTTCCACTCTCTATCCAACCTATTAGATTCATCTCCTTTGGAACCCATGACAAATAGCACTATCAAAACAGCACTATATCTTGCTTTCTATAGGTTCCTCCGGCCTAGCGAATTCACAACCACAACCATCAACGCACCTGACTACCTTAGAACCAATGATCTCCAGAAACATACCGGCCATTATATTCTCACTCTAAGACAATCAAAAACCAGCACCGACGGACACAGTATTCAGATACCCCTGTTCCCTACTCACAATATATGGTGCCCAGTTAAAGTGTTAGACACTTATTCACTTTCAGTCCACAAACAACCTCAAAAGCCTTTGTTTGAACTGCATGGACACACTCTGACCACAGCTAAATTCATGCTATTCATAAGACTTCTGTTAACCAGGCTCGGCCTAAACCCCAATCAATTTTCAGGCCACTCTTTCCGTATAGGAGCAGCATCTTCCGCATCCGCTAACCACGTCCCCGCTCTTATTATTAAGGCCATGGGGCGATGGAAATCCTCCGCCTACACACTCTACATACCCAATCCTATTAAAGAATTAAGACAAGCTTTTTGTGACTTATCTCAATAAACTAAGTTGGTTCACGAATTATGTTTTCTGGTTATTTTCTTTTTGCCCACTTTTATTACAGGCCTACTGCTCTGTCGGTTCCGGCACACCACAACCGACTGGTGCCTACTCATAGATGTTATGATTGTATTGTGCTAACATTTCTCTGTTCGGCTAAATTGCCCCGACTACAAATTTGAAGGCTTGGCCTGGAGTTGTGGGAGGGGCTTGGTTCACCTTTAAAAGGGCTGCCAATCCACTCCCACCTTACCGTTGCGGGTCTGGCGAGTCACCCCTCCCACCGCTCCCTCTACTTATAACACCCTCTAAGGTGGGCCCACTTTTATTACAGGCCTACTGCTCTGTCGGTTCCGGCACACCACAACCGACTGGTGCCTACTCATAGATGTTATGATTGTATTGTGCTAAGATTTCTCTGTTCGGCTAAATTGCCCCGACTACAAATATATATATATATATATATATATATATATATATATATAAAATGCCAAAAGATAGCCGCTCACCGGTCTTGTAAAATTCTAATTCTTTATTTAATTCAGGATAAAATCAGCGACCAACGTTTCATTCCCAGCTCTGGACTTTCCTCAGGGTCAAATAACAGGACAACACAGTGTATAAAAGTCTAACAGAAAGTTCATCTCTTCCACTAACTCAGCACACAAATGCATGACTGATGGTTAGCAAGGATAAAACTATCTCATCGTTTAGAAATGCTATAAAAAAACATTTAGAATTTCTGGACAATCACACCCTTTAGGAACTGATATGGTTGATATGTGTTTGTCCAAACATGTACTGAGATTCTTTGAGGGGAAATCTACCTTTTTACATGATTTCCATAAAATGTTTACACATATCAAACTTTCCAAATAAAGCATTCATAAATCTTAATTGTAAATAAGCAATGCGCTTTAACCACAGGCTCATAAATCTTAATTGTAAATAAGCAATGCGCTTTAACCACAGGCTCTTATATTTATCTCAGATATATCCCCCAAGGCCAGTTTCCTCAACTCACTTGATATATATAAATATACAAAAGCTTAGTGTATTTGATTGGATGAGTTAATCAGATTAGTTTGGGGTACGATTGGATGGTGAATGTTACCAGGTTGGTGCTTGAATGATAAATGGGACTGCGCTGGGAGAGGCTGCTGGTGGTGTTGTACATTTGTGGAGATGCATGTGTGGGGTGACTGCTTGTGGTATGGCTTGTTTCTAAATACAATGTGTGTGCGGTTACATGTGTAGGAGGGATGCTGTTTGTGTGGGTGTGTTTTATGGGTGTGACTGTTTATGGTGTAATATCTGTGCATGGGAATAAGGGCAGTAGTGAGTTGGGGGGGTTGGGGTTGTAGTGTGTGCGGGGGACTGTGACTGTCATTTGTGAAGTAGGGCATTTTTGGCTACTGTGTTCAGAGCATAGAAATTGAGTCTGAAGTTATTGTGTGCACATTAGGCTAGGGAGGGGGAAATACTAATCGTTGCATCATCTGGTCTGCACTATTGTTTGAAGTTCCCTCACAGGTAACATCCACAGATTTATCTGGGAGGGGCACAGCCAATTAGATTCTGACTGAGAGTGAAAAAGGGCTCTTTATGCTCTGTGATAAATTCATACACTGCAGATTACAGTGAAGCTCTGGAATATTCACACCTCATAATATTGTGAAGCTCCCTAAAACGCTCATGTATTGTGTGTTACTGCAGAGCTCTGTAACTCACTCATTTGCACTTCATAATACTGCTGAGCTCTGTTATTCACCTATGTGCTCTCATTTGCACTTCATAATACTGCTGAGCTCTGTAATTCACTTATTTGCTCTTCATATTACTGTTGAGCTATGTAAAGAACTCATATACATTACATATTACTGCTGAGCTGTTTAATAAGCTAATGTACAGTGCACATTACTGTGAAACTTTGAAATTAACTCATATGCACTGATCAGCCAAAACATTAAAACCACTGGCACGTGAAGTGAATAACATTGATTATATTGCTACAATGGCACCTGTCAAGGAGTGGGATATATAAGCCAGCAGGTGAGTCTGTTCTTTTTAGAATGTTATGTGTTGGAAGTAGGAAAATGAGCAAGCAAAAAGATCTGAGTGACTTGATGACATGGGCCTAATAGTGATGGCTATACGCAAAAGTGAAACAACGAAGAACAACTGTTGAACCAGTGTCATGGCCATGGGTACCCAAGGCTCATTGAAGCTTGTGGGAAGCAAAGGATGTCCCATCTCTTCTGATCACACAGAAGAGCTACTGTAGTTCAAATTGCTAAAAAAAAAAAAAAAAAAACATAATGCTGGCTATAATAGGAAGGTGTACACACAGTACTCGCGTATATTTCTGCATATCCTCACACCGGTCAAAGTGTCTTTGATGACCCTCATCCAATGCCGAAAGCATCTTCAAGGAGGATGTGAGTGTCAGAACTGGACCATGGAACAATGGTAGGAGGTTGCCTAGTGTGATGAATCACAAATGTTCAAACCTTAACCTCCAAATTCCCCACATTTCAATCAGATTAAGCATTTGTGGGATGCGCTAGCACGACAAATCAAATCCATGGAGGCCCTACCTTGCCACTTGCCACATTAAAGCATCTGCTGCTAATGACTTGGTACCTGATACCACAGTACACACTCAGAGATCTTGTGGAGTCCATGTCTCAATGCATCATAGTTGTTTTGGCAGCAAAAGGGGGACCTATTCCATATTAAGCAAGTGGTTTTAATTTTATGGCTGATCAGTGTACACTGGATGTTACTGTGGTGCTCTATTATATACTCATACACATTGCTCCTCCTCCCCTCATTTACAGCCCCACACCTGCAAATTTATCTCCCTTTCTCTATATTATAATCCCAACATTGATCTGCAAAATATCCCCCTACCTACAGATATTAGTGTTTCCGCCCCACAATAGATCCTCATATTGTGTTGCAACAACCCCATTCCTCCCAAACTAGAACCTCTCAGTTCCCTGTAGTTTACCCCTCTGCCCAATTAATACCCACATTCACCTGGCTAACAAACCACTGCCAAATATTATTTTTACATTTTCATAATTGGTTTTATTTTCCTTTTGATCTACACGCAAGAGACAAACTCACACAGAAACACACTCACATATACACACATTTATACAAACAATGTACTTGGTCACACAGAAGCATGTGTTTACATACACACACACACACACAAGTCAAACAAACTGTAATATATCTTCACTGTCTCAATTATCCATACCTCCCAGCAATCCGTATGAGAGTGTTAGGATGAGGTGGGTGGAGCCCAGAGGGTCCATCACCAGTGAACCGACCCACATCACTCTGGACACCCATAATGAGCGAGAACATCCACAAAAAAGGTGGACCTGTCCACTGACATGCTACCTGGCTGCCCACCCCCTCAGTCTTCAGGACCATGCAGGGAGCACTGAAGTCCTCCCTTCAGGGTCGTAATTCCCATTTCATAGCACAAGCACATCTAATAATGTGCTGTGGTGCCGGGGACTGTACCTTGTACACTTACATTCATTTAAACATTCATTCACTCACTCATATGGAAGTTAGAGAGGGGAAACCTATTTCTGTTAAGTAGGATGGAAAACACAAGCCTATTCTCAAGATTCCCCCCCCCTCCAACTGCTGTTTAAGACTGTCTGGCCAGTGCCGGTCTTGCAAAAATACCAGCAATGCACAGAACAGTATTTTTCTCTAATTAAACTTATGGGAAGGTGGTGAGAGAAATGGAGCCAATATGTCCACCTCTATTATATATGGTATGTACACATTTTGCTAATTACACACAATGAGACACACACGCAAACACAGTATACACACACTTAGACCCAGAATGTACATGCGTTTTAGACATTAAAGCAGCAGAGGAGGAATGGGCTGCTGGAGACTCTCCCTTAGCATTAACACAGCTTAATGCTATATGGAAGGTCTGCCTGAGGGAACTCCATACTATAATGAATTAAATGAAGCAGTTACAGTTCACCTGTAAAGGGTTGTTTAACAGTACGTCCCAACTCTGTTAGAAGCAAGGAATTATGGATAGTTTGCAGTACCAGAGAATCTATGCTGTTTAGCTATATAGTATGTCTACAACAATTCTTCTTGGATTCTTTCAATGGACCCCACTTGCTTTAAACAAAATGATAAAGAACATCCAAGTTAGATCTTCTAGCACCTGGTCTGACTAATCTTCATCTGATGCTATTTTGTATTTTTAATAATAGTGGATTCATTGGCATTCCTTAAAGTACCCAAAGCAGTATTTTATTTTTTTTAGTTAACAGTTCATATATAGTGTTTTTATTTGAGCGCTGTACAATTTATGGAAAAAGAAAATTACCTTCTTTTTTTTTTTTTTTTATTCCAAGACAGGACACCGTAAACATAACACATACAACTACATTAAGATATGCATATACAGGCATGTACACTGTGTTGTTGGCATTTTACATTAGCAATATGAATGCACATTCTAAGTTGTAGATCTTATATAATTTGAGATTGCGGGCTGTGAGTTTGCTTTTATTTCTTAAGGTAATTCTCATGTTTATTTGTTTCAAGACATCCTGTCTGGGTTTTTTTTGTAATAGATAAAACATGTAACTACCCAGCAGTTGTTTGCACAAAAAAAACAACAGCCAAAGAGGTCCCGCTGGCCGCCTGGAAGTCCATGCCGACCAATAGGAGAAGGAGTTCCCATTCAAATTGGGTTTGTGCCATTCTCTTGATAGGTCGGTGTAGCGGAGTGGCAATATTAAATCCCACGATCTCCGCTGGTTCCGAAGGTAATCCACAGTCAAGCGCTGAAAAACAAGGCAATATCCCAAATCTCCCAGTAACCGGATGAAACACAGTTCTGAGAGTCAATTGAGGCTTTATTCACATGCT